CCGTCTGTAAACTTTTCACATTTTCGACTTCTTCTCAAGAACCACTGGACCAATTTCAACCAAACTTGCCACAAAGTATCCTTGGGTGAAGGGGATTCAAGTTTCTTCAAATGAAGGGCCACGCCTTCATTCAAGGGGAGATAATTGGGAATATGTGATAATTTGGTGGCATGTCTTAAAAATCTTTTTCTGAAGAACCACTGTGCCAGGAAACATGAAACTGCTGGGGAAACATCCTCAGGTAGTGTAGATTCAAGTTTGTTCAAATCATGACCCCTGAAGGTAGGGCGGGGCCACAATGGCTGATCAAAGTTTTACATAGAAATATATAGGAAAATTTTTTCAAAATCTTCTCAAGAATAGCAAAGCTATTATTGATCATATTTATATAGAAGCATCATCAGGTAGTGTAGATTCAAGTTTTTTTCAAATCATGACCCCTGGGAATAGGGCAGGGCCACAATGGCCGACCAAAATTTTACATAGAAATATATGAGAATTTTTAAAAATTTTCTTCTCAAGAACAGCAAAGCCATAATTGATCATATTTATCTGGAAGCATCCTCAAGTAGTGTAGATTCAAGTTTGTTCAAATCATGACCCTCGGGGGTAGGGCGGGCCCACAATGGCCGACGAAAATTTTACATAGAAATATACATGTATAGGAAAATTCTTTAAAAATCTTCTCAAGAATAGCAAAGCCATAATTGATCATATTTATATGGAAGCATTCTCAGGTAGTGTAGATTCAAGTTTGTTCAAATCATGACCCATGGGGGTAGGGCGGGGCCAAAATGGCCGATCAAAGTTTTGCATTGAATGATATAAGAAAATTCTTTAAAAATCTTCTCAAGAATAGCAAAGCCATAATTTATCATATTTATATGGAAGCATCCTCAGGTAGTGTAGATTCAAGTTTGTTCAAATCATGACCCCTGGGGGTAGGGCGGGGCCACAAAGGCCGTTCAAAGTTTTACTTAGACATATATAGGAATTTCTTAAAAAATCTTCTCAAGAATAACAAAGCCATAATTGATCATGATTGGTTATGGGACTACTTTCGGATTTAAGGTAGTTCTACACTCGGCACCAAATGGGCTCAATCTTAAAAAATCTGCTTTTATAAGATAGACATACATCCCAGCAATGGAAAGACACAAGAAAAAATATATGTCGACATGTATACTTTTCCTCTATTGCCTATTGGAGCATATACCCCGAAATGTAAAATATTGAAAATTTACCTATCCTAGATTTTGTTGTATATAAATGAATTAAAGTCTAAATATTCAACTTTAATATTCAAAATAGAGTAGAAAAATGTTAGTAAACAATATATAATCATTGTTTTGCATGAATTATTATAAATAGATGCACTTTGTAAGGCTAACGTATCAAAATTTAGTATGAGAAAATATGCTTCACAGGTCAATCTCGGTCATTTAAAAAAAATTATGGACTCAAACTTCGTAAATTTGCATTATTTTTACTAAATAATATTTAAGAAAAAGAATAAGCTTAAAAAAATCATATGTTGACGCATTACTTTTCGTGGTATGAGCTCTACACTAAAGGGACCCCCCTTATTTCCTTCTTCCAGAAGTAATATATTGCCACATTTTCCTGTAATACTGTTAATGTTTGAGTGTATATTTGTATTAACAAAGTTGTACATATATTTAAAACAATAGTTATACACACCCAATACCTACTGTCCCTAAAATTTATCTTATTTTACACTTTAAAAAAATTAAAACACACTTGTCTGTAAATTGGAGACAATGAAAATGAAAGTGATTGACTGATTCTCACAAACTGGATAATTTTGTTACAGAAAGTAAGTATGCTGCAAGCGAATCAACTTTTGTTATATTATATATTTATAAGATAATTTTTGCATTGTGATTTGTGGGTAAGCAGGTTGAAGGGGGGGTGGGGGTATGCGTCTTATACAATAATTATTATTCCAAGTAAATCAAATTTTGTAATGTTTAATTAGTACTTTACTTACTTAGTCCTCTTCGTGCTTGGAGCACATAAGGCCTGCACCGAGGACTTTTTAATTAGTAACAATCATAAATTGTCTAAGTCAAATCGTAGTCATTACTTTTCTTCCGAATTATCACTAGTAACTTTAACTTGGCCACCGACAATATAGTCGCCTTGACTTCGACAGTTTGAAATTGTTCTGATGTAGCATGTTCGTGGTCCGTGATATCGGCACGGCATGTAACACATGCATCATTCACAGAAATATCATTTTATTACCTAATTATTTCTGTCAACCGAAAGTTGTTCCCAACCATCTCTTTTTAATTAATCAAACTGTAGAATCAGTGTTTGGACGTTTGTTGACACGAGCGAATGGGAGCAAATTCGTTACCGGATATTTAAAACGCTAAGTAAAAGTCAAACCAATATAGTTCAAAAATCACATCTCGGAAAAAGGAAGCGTGGTTCCGGTTTTACTATTCGTAAATGACGTAGTGCGAGTGTAGACCTACTTTAAACGTTTCAATATTAAACCAATTTCTATTTTTTCCTAACCACAATGCTCAGGTGAGGGATGTGGCCCATGGGCCTCTTGTTGAAATTGTTCATACGTAGAGCATGCATGCTCTTGCATATCAAATCAACCAAGATATATAAATTCTGTATGCACTTGATGAAGGTATATGGCTGCAAAAGTACTTGGGAAGTTGACGATTGTAAAGTTAAAATCATCAGTTTTATTACAGAGATTGGTTGTTAGATTACCATTAACATCTTTTTCAAGTAAAATATTCAAGTATGAAACAGATGTGTCAGACTCTGTGGTATCTTTTATCTCAAGCCTACCAGGATATATCGTACATGGGCATAAGAATTGAAATTACCATTGTTAAGGTCAAGATCTAGTAAATGACTCTGGAATAACTTTTCAGAGCTAAATCCATTATGACGTCATAATCACTTTCAGCTTTCTTTTTCCCGTACTTTAAGGCTCTAATAGAAATGTGTAGAAAATAAAGCATTTTCTTGGATTTCAATTTGAAATCACATGAAAAGCAGTCCCAATACCTATCTTAAATTTAACATTATTTTTATGTAGAGACTAAGAACATACAAATAATCGTTTTCTGAAAAAATGTAGGCAATCTGGATACATTTTCTTTGTCTGATATGGAAAAAACTCACATTTTCAATACTGGTTTTCTTAATTTTTCATTGAAAATGACAGTTTAAAATATGGTTTTTCATCTTGTTTTTCTACAAATTATGCCCCGAAACACCTATTTTGACCAAGCTAATGTTATAAAGCATCATTAAAGGAATTGACTTCTTAAATTCGAAAAATCTGTAGGCACCTTCCATTTACTAGATCTTGACCTTAATTGACCATATGCCATTGACTCGTTGATATAATGATTTAATATCTACTAAGTAAATATGTTCGTATACAGTTAAAGTATATCATTGAGGGAGTAAGCAAGATTCCAGTTACCCAAGGCCAGGACTATTTCCCGAGGTGCAGCCTAGGGAAATAGTCCTGGTCAAGGGAAGCTGGATTCTTGCCAATTCCCTCAATGATGTACTTTTTAGCTTTTTTAGCTCACCTGAGCCGAAGGCTCAAGTGAGCTTTTCTGATCAAAATTTGTCCATTGTCTGTCGTCGTCGTTGATGTCGTTGTTGTTGTCGTTAACTTTTCACAGTTTCGACTTCTTCTCAAGAACCACCAGGCCAACTTTAACCAAACTTGACACAAAGTATCCTTAGGTGAAGGGGATTCAAGTTTGTTCAAATGAGGGGCCACGCCCTTATTCAAGGGGAGATAATTGAGAAATAGTGAAAATTTGATGGTATGTTTAAAAATCTTCTTCTCAAGAACCACTGTGCCAGGAAAGATGAAACTTATATGGAAGCATCCTCAGGTAGTGTAAATTCAAGTTTGTTCAAATCATGACCCCCGGGGGAAGGGCGGGGCCACAATGGCCGATCAAAGTTTTACATAGGAATATATAGAAAAAATCTTTAAAAATCTTCTTCTCACAATGGCCGAATATATAGGAAAAAACTCTTGTCCAAAAAGATCATCCTCAGGTTGTGTACATTCAAGTTTTACATAGGAATATATAGAAAAAATATATTAAAAATCTTCTTCTTCTTCACAAGAACCCCTAGGCCAGAAAAGGTGAAACTCATGTGGAATCATTCTCAGGTAGTGTAGATTCAAGTTTATTCAAATCATGACCCCGGGGCTAGGGTTGGGCCATAATGGCTGTTAAAAGTTTTACATAGGAATATATAGGGAAACCTTTTAAAATCTTCTTATCAAGTACTTCAAAGCCATGATTAGTAATATTTATATGGAATCATCCTCAGGTAGTGTAGATTCTAGTTCTTCAAATCATGATCCCCTGGGGGGTTAAAATTCAAGCCCCCCCCCTCCCCCCCCCCCCAACGTTACTAAACTTTCAGTTCTGATCTGATATGTGCTTTTTCTTAGCCAATGTGCTCAGGTGAGCGCTGTGGCCCCTGGGCCTCTTGTTATTATACCGATACAAAAATAAAAAAAAAATAGAAGATTACGAATGACGGGAATTAGCTTCAGGACTAGCTTATGGGGATTAGTCCATACAGATGCAAAAGTAAAATCTAGAAGATTACAGGTAACCGGAGAATTAGCTTCCGAAGCAGGGATTAAATTATTTGAATTTGACTAACGCACGGGGATTAGTCCATTCACAGAGATTTCTAGGGAATTATTCACATTTTACTGCCTAACTTTAATTTACTGCCTAACTTTAATTTAGGAAAAAAATCAGTAGAGGTATAATAATGGTAATGAAATTGAATCATCTTCATGTGTATGGATTTAGAGAACCATAAAAAATAGTGTTGGAAAATAATTAGATTCACTTCTGTAAATAATTAAACATTTTTGTAAGACTTCTTAATAACATTTGGACTGAAGTTACTCAGGTTTATATTGTGACCCATAGGTGTCTTGTTTATTTCAGAAATATGAAAGTTTTCTGCAGCCAGAGTCAAAGAAATTTTCATTGGACCCACAAATTACATCATTTGAAATGCTTCAACACATAATAGCAAGTGCTTTCAATATAAGAGGGTATGTACTATTAGCTCACTTAAGCTGATTAGGCTCAAGTGAGCTTTTCTGATCAAAATTTGTTGTTGGCATCGTTGTTGTAAACTTTTCACATTTTCTTCTCAAGAGACACTGGGCCAGTTTTGCCACAGAGTGGAGCAACAATGGGTGATTAAGGTTTTGCATAGGAATACATGGGAAAAATCATTAAAATTCTTCACAAAACCATGTTTGATTATTAATTTAAAAGCATCAAAAAAGTTAATGAAGAAATAAATTTGTTCATATCACAGACCTGCCTACCCTACTGCTTTTGGCGTAATTTTTTCACTTTGTACCACAAAATTATGCTATTACGCCATTGATATTAATTTTACGCTTTGATATTTCAGTTTAAATTCTTTATAAACAACTAAATTTAGAATTAAAGTAGTGAAATATGACCTGCTGAATTGAAATGAAATTCTTATGGATAAACTTGGTAGGTTCTAATTTCACACAAAGACTGCTCATGACCTAAGGGAGTGTCATGACCTTAGGTCAAGGTCATTTGGGAAGTTCAAGGTCACTGGAAGAAAAATTTCATAATTTGTGTCTTGTCTGTATATTTAGTATTTTTTCTTTATTAGGCTGCACCTTTCTTTCATTTATTAAAATATAATGAGCAACAATTACATTTGCACTAAAAATGTTTTAGCATTTCTCTCTTCTCTTAGATCCATGAAATATTCATGATTTATGACCTCTGAAAAACCCAGCGGGGGGTATTTTGTCCCATTTGGACAGTTCTAGCTTCCATCCCCTTGTAGTGCCAAATATAGGCCCATTCTATTACATATCACCTTGTGGCTCTACAAAATATTAAGAAAGTTTGCTAAAACTGTATTATAGTTCATCTATTCTCTGATGTAAAGTTCAGAATAATAATAAAGTAAATATCAATTTATTCATAAGTGTTTTTTTTTTCTCTTGAAAAAAAATCATGCAGTAATATTTTCCAATATAAAGTGAAAAGATTTAATTAAAATTCCAAATTCCAAGGGCATGCATTCCTAAAACAGAGTGGAAAATCCCTGGATTTTTGGACAATTTTTTCAAATGTATACTAAAAACAGCAATACGTGGTAAAATCTGTATTACACCCCAAATCAACCCTAGACTTTGGGGTTTGATACAGATTTTGCCATGTTTTATTTTATATTTATCAAGTTTTATTACTTATTGCCATTAGAAGACTGGTCCAAAAGATATGATTCCTGAAATGTTTATATCTGTTTACATTTGTTTCTAGAGATTTTACTATGAGTTACCTTGTTAGAGATGACTATGGACAGGAAATCTACCTGAGTATGCTGTCTGATTGGGATATGGATGCAGCCATTCAAAGTGCTTCAGATCCATTTTTGCAGCTCAAAGTGGATGCCAGACCATTTGAAGAGGGTACAGATTTGTTCCCAAACAAAATTTTGCTCTGTTTAATTTTATGTAAATTTTTTAATTGCTAGTCTTTTTAGCTCACCTAATCCGAAGGCTCTAATGAGCTTTGCTGATCACATTTTGTCTGGAGTCTGTCTGTCTAGCTGTCCATCGTCTGTAAACTTTTCATATTTTCAACTTCTTTGCAAGAACTACTGGACCAATTTCAACAAAACTTGCAACAAATTGTTATTTGGTTAAGGGGATTCAAGTTTGTTAAAATGAAGGACCACAACTCCATTCCAAGGGGATATAAAAAAAAATTAATGACATCTTAATCTTTTAAAAATATTCTTCTAACAAACCACTGGGCCAGGAAAGATGAATCTTAGGTGGAAAAATTTTCAGGTAGTGTAGATTTAAATTTAACCCCCTGGGGTAGGATGAGGCCAAAATGGACAATCAAAGTTTTACATAAGTACATATATAGGAAAAATCTTTAAAAACCTTCTTTTTAAAAACAGCAAAGCCCTGGTTGATCATATTTATATGAAAGAAGGTAGATTCAAGATTATACAAAACATGATCCCTGGGGTTAGGGCAGGGTTACAATGGACAATAAAATTTTTACGTAGGAATATGTTGGAAAAAACTTTAAAAATCTTCTTATTAAGAACAATGGAAGTATCCTCAGGTTTTAATAATTCAAATCATGACCTCTAGGGATAGGGGTAGGAATCAATGGATAATAAAAGTTTTATATATGAATATATAGGAAAAATCTTCAAAAATCTTATTCTTAAGAAAGCAAAGTTATGATGTGTCATGTTTATATGGAAGCATCTTTAGGTAGTGTAGACTCAAATTTGTCCAAATCAGGACTGCCGGGGTAGGGGGGCATAATGGACCATCAAAGTTTTACATAAGAATAGGAACAAGATGTGTTTGTGAAACATCATGCGCTCGGCTGCAACAACAAAGTTAAAAAAAAAAATTTAAGCATATAGGTCACAGTCAAGGTCACAGGGTCATTGTCTTTGGGTCATTTGAAAGATCTTAATTAGTGGAATGTGCAAACTAAATATGAAGTCTCTATCTCTTATGATTCAAAACTTTTGGCGAAGTTACGAAAATTTATTTTCAGCAAATAGGTCACAGTCAAGGTCAAAAAGTCATTATCTTTGGTGTCATTTGAAAGAGCTAAAATGTAGAATATGCTTGTCAAATATAAAGTCTTTATCTCCCATGGTTTACTGTATATACTCACCTATAAGGCGGTCCGCCTATAAGTCGGTTGTATTTTTTGACGCTATTTTAGTGGGATTTGCAATTAAACAGCTTATAAGTCGGTGCAATTTTTTTGCGGAAATCGGGTGACAATTTCAAGTAAATTCAATGATGTTTTAACCTGGTTTCATTTATTAATTTTCAAAATGACACCAATATTTAGTCCTAAATCATTAAACAAATAAGTAATGCTCACTTACGATACAAAAAAAAAATTAGAATATGTAAATACTTGAACTTTATTATGTACAATCTAAGAATACATAAATTATATACATTTGAATATAAATACATTTTCCTCCATAATCGTCAGAAATGCATATAAAATACTACATTTCAGAGACCAGAGAAAATACCATTCTCTTGATGACTTGCCTATAAGTCGGACATAGAGTTAAAGACCAAAATTAAACTCCCCAAAAAACGACCTACAGGCGAGTATATATGTTAAAAGTTATGGCACATGTTAAAGTAGACAACAGACAGGACAAAAACAATATATGCCGGTTCTATCAATCCGCCGGGCGCATAAAAATCTCAAGAACAGCAAAGTCGTGGTTGGTCATGTTTATATGGATGCATCCTCAGGTATAGTGTAGATAACCCCATGGGGTAGGGTGGGACCACAATAAAAGTTTTTCAAACTCATAGGGAAAAAGTCACTGTTAGTCATAAATTATGATATCATCCTGAGTTTAGTTTCAAGTTTGCATAGAATTGAATGTGTTCAAAGCCTACCCGCTTTAAGGATCAGGACTACTTATGCATTTACTGAATTGTTTTTTTCTTGTTCCTCAGCATACTGCTCAGTTGAGCGATGTGGCCCATGGGCCTCTTGTTGTAGTGTTCAGAGCTTAATATTAAAATGTTACATTTAATGTTTTTGAAGTTGATGAATGATGTACAACTTTTTAGGTCACCTGAGTAAACTCACATATTGCTGTCTGTTTTCGTTTGTCATCATGCATTGTGAGTTTTAAAATATTTGAACATTTTCAGCTTCGTCTCTGCAACCATTCAACCAATTTTGGCACATAGTTTATTCCTAGACATCAAGCAGTTAAACTGTTGGCATAAGTTAATAAGCATTGAGTCCTCTATCAAAACTGTGATATTCATGGCACCAGAGTCAGGGGTTCAAGTGCATAATTTCTTTGAAAATCTTCTCTGCTCTTAAGCATTTAACAAACTAACTCCATACAAAGTTATGATGAAGAAGGGTGCCTCTTTGAAAACCTTCTTTTATGCTCCTAGGTATTAATCTAACTACATTCAAAGTTATGATGGGGAAGGGTAAAAATTGTGAATTTCATGGCATCAGGATCAGGGGTTCTGGTTTTAGAGTAGGGCTCTATTGATTATATAATGAAAACGCGTTACCAAAGGTAATTTAAAAAAAAAAATCCTTTTCGTCATTTCTGGATATTAAACTTACTACATAGTTAATGATGAGCAAGGGACATTCTGCCAGAATTATGAATTTCAAGACCCCTGGATCAGGGGTACCATATAGGGCAGTGAAGGGCTCTTATTATTAGGGCCCCACAAGGATTTGCGTGCCCTATAGTAATCACTCTGTCTGTCTGTCTGTCATTCTTCCGTCCACAAATTTTCTGTTCTTTTTAATAACTTTTTTTTTAAGGTTGCCCAATTTAGTACAAATTTGGTATGGTGGTTTAGTAGGCAGAAAGACATATTTTGATGCTAAGTTTGGATCTGTATGTCTTCTGGTTTGGAGCTGGGGTGGTGGGGTAGATTCCTTAAATATGCATAAGAATGAATGGGCAAAGAGCGATAACTGCTGAGAATGTTCCTATTGTAAACTATGAAACCTGTGCAAGAATCCCTTGGGATTAATTAACCTTCCACTTGAAGAAAATCCTAAGCATTATCTTTATCTGTCACATTGAGATTAATCACTGTACCACCTCTGTCTGCAAATAAAGTTTGTTTTGAAGTTAAGGTCAATTTTGAATGATGTGGATTTAGATATTGTTCATACTTTATTTTGGTTAAAATACCACACACAATGAGTTATGATTATATTGAAATCTCAAAACAAGATATTAAGATATCATTTATTATTATTTATTTTTTAATTATTTATTTAATTATACCCCCCGCAAACGAAGTTTGGGGGGGTATATAGGAATCATATTGTCCGTCCAGCTGTCAGTCTAGCTGTCTGTCCGTCTGTCCGTCTGTCTGTGCAAACGTGTCCGGTCCATATCTTTCTTACGGAGGAACATTAGAATCTACTACTCCACACAAAGATTGCCCATGACCTAAGGGTGTGTCATGACCTTGACCCAAGGTCATTTGAGGAAGTTCAAGGTCACTGGAAGAAAAATTTCATAATTCCATAATAGGTCCATATCTTTCTTATGGATAAACTTGGTAGGTTCTAATTTCACACAAAGATTGCTCATAACCATTGGATGTGTCATGACCTTGACCCAAGGTCATTTGGGGAAGTTCAAGGTCACTGGAAGAAAAATTTCATAATTTGTGTCCTGTCCATATCTTTCTTATGGATAGACTTGGTAGGTTCTCATTTCACACAAAGATTGCTCCTGACCTAAGGATGTGTCCTGACTTTGACCCAAGGTCATTTGGGGAAGTTAAAGGTCACTGGGAGAAAAATTTTATAATTTGTGTCCGGTCCATATCTTTTCTTTATTATGGAAAAACTTGAATCTACTATTTCACACAAACATTGCTTATGACCTGAGGTTGTGTCATGACTTTGAACCAAGGTCATTTATGCAAGTTTAAGGTCTCTGACAGAAAAAGTTCATAATTTATGTCTGGTCCGTATATTTGGTCTATTTTATTTTATTAGGCTGCGCCTTCATTTCATTTTTAAAAAATATGAGCAATTATATTTGCATTTAAAATGTTTTAGCATTTCTCTCTCTCTCTCTTAGATCCATAAAATATTCATGATTTAGCACTTCTAAAAAACCCAGCAGGGGGTATTTTGTCCCATTTGGACAGTTCTAGTTCTTTTTTTGCTTCCGTAAGGCTGTTAATTTTAACAGGTAATCAGATAATAACCCCATTCTGTCTATTGCTGAAAAAAAGTTTAAATTTAAAAGAAAAGGACGAAAGAGCAGTACACTTACCGTAAATCTGGAAATTTTTGCTGTAGATAAATTTTTAGCAAATTTGGGAGTTCATTGCATTCACAAAAATATTTTTCTTAAAAATATATTACCAATAAAAAAAATGTAAACAAAGCAGTGGTAATTTTGCAAAATTTTGAAACATAAAAATTAATCAAAAGCATTTTGACCCGAATTCGCAAAATAAAATCGACGCAAAAATTCCAGATTTACGGTCAACCACTGAGATAAATTAATATCTTGCTTGCTGCAGAAAATTTAGAGGCTTATCTTTATCTGCCACATGAAAATTAATGAACACCTTGGTCTACAGCTGATGTTTGTTTTGAAGTTGAGGTCAACCCTGGGTGATATTTGCATTCACTGAAGGCTAGAATTTTACAAAACACCTGCGTAAATCTTTTTTTAATACACATTTAATTGATTTAATGAGATTATCCTTGTTTTATGTAAATACCAGGTCACTATTTACAGGTTTTTGGACAATCAGGAATTATCTTGAAATTTAAAAAATATAGTTGTTTCTGTAATTTTCTTCATATATTTTTTGAAAAAAATTGTAATCAAGTAAAATTCTTTTTTCCTAAGCTGCACTCTTATATTTCTACCCCTCAACGGGGTCCTTCCTGTCTGGTCATTTTTCTAGTTGTAGACTGAAAGTGAATTAATGCTTTGAAATCTGTTCCTTGATATTAATGAAACATATAAGATTAGCAAGAGTGCCTTTTCCAAAAATGTGAAATGTGTGGACCTAGGTTCAGGGGTTCCAGTTGGGTGGGGGCACTACCGATTATTGCTGAATAATAGTGATAAGTGGAAATGCATTTTTTAGGTCACGGTCACCTGAGTCGCTCAAGTGACCTATTGCTGTTTTCGTCTGTCATTGTCCATCGTTTGTTGTGTGTTAACATTTAAACATTTCTTCTCTGCAACCGCTCAGCCAATTTCAGCGTAAAGCATCTATGGGTGAAGGGGAACAAAAATTGTGAATTTCATGGTCCCTGCCCCCTTGGGTCCTGAGGGATGGGGCTAAAACTAATAAAACTAATACTGTATACAGGGAAATTTTCCCTCCTGTTTTATTTTTGCCCTCATCGGAAATGGGCAAATTTAACACGGGGGAATTCAAAGTAAACAGTATACACTGTAATACCTTAAACAAAAATCTTCCTGGGCGAATTTTAAATGGGGCAAACTTGTTTTCAGATGTAAAAGGATGAATATAACACAGGGCGAAAAGAACCCTGTATAATAAGGTAGTCTTCAAAATCTTCTTCTTTACTCCTTGACATCAAGCAGTCAAACTGTTGGCTTGATTGAAATAAGCATCGATTCCTCTTCTAAAATTGTGAAATTCATGGTCCCAGGATCAGGGGCTCAAGTGCTAGGGTGGGGCTTTATAGATTATATAAAGAAAATGCATTAATTCTTTGAAAATCTTCTTCCCTGCACCTTGGGATTAAACATACATAGTTATGATGAGGAAGGGTGTCTCTCCTAAAATTGTGAATTTCATGACCCCAGGGTCAGGGGTTCTGGTGTTAGGGCAGGGCTCTATTGATTATGCAGTGAAAATGCGTTATTTCTTTGAAAATCTTCTCTGCACCTGGGTATTAAGCAGATGAACTTCCTATACAGCTATGATGAGCAATGGTCCTTCCAGTTTTGTGAAATTCAAGGCCTCCAGGACAAGGGTTCGGTAGAGGTGGGGGGGGGGGCTCAAATTATTTAAATTAGTTACTGTAAATGAATTAATGCTTTGAAATCTGCTCCCTGGTGTAATAGCTTGTTTTATTTTGTTTCATCTTTGGGAGCACCTATTCTACCGTTTAACGGATATTTTTTACGTGCTGCTAATTTTTATGAGTTTTATAAATCTGTAAAATTTAAACGTGTGAAATTTCACAGAGGTATTAAAAAAATGGCCTTACCTAAATTTTCAACATCATATTATGAGATTATTTCAAAATTTTTGTTGCCATTTAGCTAAGTACCTGGAGGCTGTAGAATTAGTACTGACAACTGTTGGTATTTTTGGGGATTTTTTAATTGATCATCAATTTAGATCAAACAAGTAAATCTTAATGCACAAATTATACAAACATTGTCAATTACCTGGTTACTCTAGTAACTCTTGATGGGATGCATAATTTCTAATAATGGCTTAATTATTACAGACTGACATCTTCAAATTATATCCGTTTTTCAAGGCTTTGACCCTTTCTTCTTTGTTATTTGCTTCCAGTAAAAACTTCGACATTTTAGTACACTGTAATCCGCGTCCCCTGTAATTCTGTCAACTTAATCATGATGGTTGAGTTGTCTCTCTTTTGTTTCCATTAAAATGAACATGGGCACATGGTGCGTGGGCACGTGTTGTGCAACAATAATTATACTAGAGAAACAGGAATAAATGCAGTGCATGTGATATATAAAGGTATACAAATGAATAAACATATCATCATTTAATGAATTGACACTCATTATCACGGGAACAATTTCATTTTTATTTTTACATCAAGTCGGTCAGACACATTTAAAACATGTAATTTTAATGTTAACGCATTCAAAAAACTAAAACATTGATCTTGAATTTCACCTCTGGTGATTTTAATTTTTAAAGACATGCTCAATTCGTAAAAAATAAACACATAAAAAATTAAAACACCCTATTTCAACAGAAATTCGTAAAATATTACAGTAGTAAAAAATACCCGCTATACGGTATGTATATATGTTACAAAAACATTTCTTTGAAATACAGTGGACCCTCATTTATCCGGACGCTTTGGTTCCCAGTCCATTTGTCCGTATATGTGAAGCATCCGGATATCTGAATCACAAGTCAAACAAGACAAAATAACATTAAAAAATTTCGTTCCAATGAAAAATCGTCCGGATACTGAAGCATCCGGATATCTGGCGTCCGGATATCTGAAGGTCCACTGTAATGTTATTAAACCACAAATTAAATTCAAACTTTTCCTGATGGAATTCAATGATTGACAATTGGTTAGAGCAGTTTATGCTCTATATATATATGTACCTTGAAGCAGTTTATTAATAAAATTGAGAAACTAGCTGTTAATACAGTTAAATTTTTTCCTTACAATTTAATTTTATTTCATTTAGTGTAAAAAAATAAGATGATGCCTTTAAAAATGAGTCAGGGTTTGACATTAAGCTTCTGGAATACTAGACCAGTCCGGCTACTCTGGCAAATTTTTACTAGCCCTGATCCTTTAACCACTAGCCCTGAAATCTTTTTTTCGGTACAGATGATGAGAATTAAATAACGACATTTTCCCGCACACTTCACATCAAAACTAGATCATATACATGTGGCTTGTTGTGTTGAGTCCTAATTTACTCAACTTGTATACAATATTAATATTGATACCATTAAAAATGTTCAAAGAATTTAAGTATAGTATAAATATTTTTATTGTTATAGTTTTATTGCCATTTACATGGCCTTTCGATTTTGAAAACTTAAATCTTTCGATAATGACAATCGTACTACTCAGTCATTTTCGTGAACGATAAATAGCTTATTGTTTCTCTCTAGGAAAATGGCCGATTAGTTACGAATGACTGGGGTTATTAATAGATTCTTAAGTGCTTAGGTCTTGCTGTCTGTTGCATATGTAGTTTTTTTTCTGGGGTAAGAAATGTTTTAATTATTATTTTTCCATTGACAATAAATGATTTGTTTTAAAATATGTAATAAGTTAAAACTTAATTAATTTTTCTTACACGACCAGTCGGTCTAGTACACAGACATTTTACCCGACTGGACCCATCTTTTACTAGACTCAGTTGGTCGGATGTGCCTTAATGTCAAACCCTGTGACTTCAAATTGTGAAAATTTGATGCAAGACATTTTGACATAATCAACAAATTTATCATATGCTACAAAGTAATAGTTTTATCCAATGAGTTACAACCAAAATTGAATTATTTTAACATAAAACATTTGATCCTATTTAGAGAAATATCAATAATTTAAATGCATTTATGTGTCAAATCTAAGTACATGTGGTGTATTACGAAGTTTATTTTAAAGAATAATCAAACTCTTGAAAGAAAGTTACTCAGTTACAATATCTCTGAAGAATAAATAACTTTGGACATACATTGTAATAAGTACCTATATGCCAAATGGTCTCTTTAAGACATTATGCTTTTCAGCTGTTTTGTAAGATTTTTCTGTTCTGTGTAGTTTGATTCTTTCCCCACAGGATTGGATGACTGGGACATTATTGCTCCAGTAGATGTGCCACAATACAAAATGTCCAGCTTCCTGGAACGTAATATTTTAGGCTCTTTGACTGGAACACTTTCAAGTGGAATGGGAAAAACTCTTACACATATGCAAAGAGCAATGGGTAAGATTTATTTTAAAAATTTTAAAAGTAATTGAAATTTAGATTGCTTTGCTATTGTTAATGTTCAAAAAAGGATATGTACATGTAGGTAACAGGAAAATATAGAAAATGAGTTTTTAAAACAGCTACATTATATTAGATTTTGACAGTTTTTAAAAATATACAAATAATTTTAATTTAAATGAACCTCATTTTTCCAAA